GAAAAAAAAAAAAAAAAAAAAAAAAAAAAAAAAAAAAAAAAAAAGAAAGTGGGTCCCATATGAGAAAGGAGTCCCATGACTCTACCCTCACCATTACCTCCTTCTGCAAAGCCTAGAGTGTCAGACAGAAGTGAATGGTAGATGGGGAGTCTTAAATCATAAGATGTTCATGGAAAAAGCAGAGCCCCACTTACCATACCTGTTTCTCTTCCCCATCTTTGATTGGGAAGGCTTCCTTTATTCTTTCTTCTCCTGCCTGGAAGATGCCATTGGCAGAATACTAGAAAATGCTTTGTTGGGAAGGGCCAGGATTAATAGACAATAACAGGAGAAACTTATGGAGATAGGATAGATAGATGGTTTGTCATCTTCAGGGACACTCTTGAAAAGTTGATTTTCCCTTTTAGGGTAATATGCTACAAAAGGGGAGACAAAATATCCACTAGAGATGACAGTACCTACAGGACAAAAGGAAGAAGTCACACTTACACAAATTATTTGTGGAATTGTTAGATAGAAATGTTACCTGAAGGCAACCACATTTACTCACATTTTTTCCTTATACCATCTAATACAATTTACATTCTGAATTGGGGATACAGTTAAAGCATTGAGATAGGAAAGAATAATTAAAACTGGTCTCCATCCCAGAGCCCCTTCATTACTAACTTGTATTATCTTCATATAATTTAGATATGTTTGTGATCTTTATTATTTAGACGTTGCCAATGTAATGCTTATAATTAGAGGAAGTAAACAATGCAGCGTCACTCTTATCATAAAAAATTATCCAAAACTTGGAAACAGGCACAGATATTAATGGGTGTTCTTTCATTAGAGAGCTGCATTTGAATTTCTATCAACACAACTACTTTATAACTCTAGGCACTGAGATTAATTAGTACAGTTTTATCCAGTCAAAATTCAAATATCTGTCCAATACAACAGTTTACCTAAAAAGTTATGGTTTATTATATTGTAAGATATTAAACGAGTTTTGTGTCTAACCATCTGGTTTATCCCAATATCTACTTATATGTAGTACATATATTAGTGTAGACTAGCTTCTCAAATGCTCTTTGAACTAATTTTAACATCTTACTGACTCCATCATTAGGTAATGAGTTGAATAAAATCCTCGACTTGTTTATTTTACCTTTGTTATATAATTTTGAGAAACTTAAAAACAACTCTGATGGTAAAATTAAATAAAAAATAGTAGCACCCAAGAGTTACAATGCCTTTAAAGAATATGCTATACAAATTTTTTAAAGAGAAAAATATAAAACAAAAATTACTAAAAAAATTAAAACTAATAAAAATAGAAGTCACAGAAAATAGTTTTAAAAAAATAAAATTATGTACTGTTTCCTCCTACTACCTCTGTAATGTGGTAGTCAGCAAGTTTCTGGTCATTCAAGCACACAATTTCTTAAGGAAATCTTCTTCTAGCTATGTTCATATTTTTCTTCATTATTTTTATCTTCATTATAAGAGAACCATAAAAAGAAAAAAGAAAATTTCTAAAGATTATATATGATTAGAGTAGTCTTTAATTTGGTATTATTTCTCACCCTCCTTTTCATGAAACTTCATTGTTGCTTTTGTCCATTTTATTCAAGAAAATGGATGAAAATACTGATATTAAAGGAAATTAAATGAACACAATGAGAAAAATTGGTAAGATTGCATAATAGAACTCAAGAATGCCATTTCTCCTACTTGCCGACTGAATAAAATATCAGTGATGGCTAATATAGTTTAGATATTAATATACTTTCTACGTTGTCACGAAGTATTGGTAAATAATATAGAATATTGAGTTAAAAGGAAAAGAAAACATAAAAGACAAAAACTTCTCTTTCTAGTGAGATTTCCTGTAATGTGGTATTTAATTTAAATAAAACAATAAAATACTGTTCATCTCAAATGCCATATAATTTTCTGTAAAAATTTCTTATAAACACAATAATTAAGTTAGTCATTTAGTTCCTATTTATGTCTCAATGGCCATCCTTCAAAATTTAAATTTAGAATAGTTTTGCTTTAATATAAAATTAGTTTGTGACAGATCAACTATCATTGATTTAGACACTTTTAAATATTAACTATTACAAGCTAAAAATATTTTTTAGTCTGGGGTCAGATGTGGCCCAAGGTCATACTAATGTATCTCTCATTGTCTACTGGTGACATTTGTTGAATATTACCTTAGGCTACATTTTTAGCATTCCCTCTGGCATGCTGAGATTAGATGTGACATTTCTTGGCCGGAATAAAACACAAGGTCAATTCTAAAGAATATGATACTGCATTTTTTCTGCACAAGTTTGCAATTGCTTATCTATAGCTCACAGGCAGTTCATTTTAAAGCATGGGACTTGTGAACCACTAGACTAGCACATGCTAAATCCATCTTACAGGATGCCTCACCACCATTATTCCAGTCTATATGACTACCTCCTGAGCCCTCAGCAAAATCCCTGAGAAATAACCAGAGTGGAGGGCAGAATTCTCCAGCTCCTACTTTAAGAAGTTGAGGGAATTTATCCACCCACTGCCTGGGAAGGGTGATAGTTTTATCAGCAGAAAGTTTCCCACTGAGATAATGTTATAAAGAATGATTGACATATTTAAATCCATGAGAACTATTACTCAACTGTATTATGAGTTAAATAAGATTTTGTTTAATATCAAACAAGTATCAATTATTTATAAAAGTACTTAAGAAAAACAATGCATTGGTAAGTTTGTAATAGAAAAACAATTTTGAAATGTCATGAATTAGACTTAATATTTTATTTTTCTTCCTAAAGCTTTAAAAATTTTTTAAAAAGTAATAATAATAATAATAAAAAACTACGTTTGGCTTGAGAGCCAGCTTTGCTCTCATAATCACCCTGTCACATCCACTTACCCTGATTAGAGTCAATTAGTAAATGAAAACATAAAAACATACTTAAATTTTGCTTCCTGAATGAAATGCAAATCTTGTATAATTCAAGCACTTTTTTCAAGCAAACATATACTTACTTAAAATCAAGTCAAGAAAACCTTATGAATCACTAGCAATCTCCAATGCAAAGAAAACTGTTAACTTAAAAATTAAAATACAATTATAATTACTTCTTGGCATGGCTATTCATACTGAGCTACATGACACAATAAAATATACTAAACATGTATTTATGAGTTTATTTAGCTTAGTCTACGTCTTATCTAAAAGGCACATCTAAAGGTGGGTTTGGAATCCTCATTACAGGATTTTAGCATCAGTAATACAGAGTAGCTGGTAACTTGAAAATAATACCCTCACTTCTTGAATAAATATTGTCAACAAACAACAAATACTATTAGAAGAAACTCAACAAAAGGCCAGTAAATACACATTCCCTTCTATATGCAGCAATCTGTCTTCGTAGGTACGTAGGAAATATTACTCTATGTTGAATGAGCCTGCTCTATGTACTTCAACCTTCTCTATTAAATAAAGTGACTATCAATGCCTGGGTGAAGCTACAGAGCACAGATAGCACTTTATATCCATAAGCAGTGCAATGAGCCATCCAAGCACACTCAACAGAGAACATTTACTAACAAAACGATGGTAGAAACCCATTGATTTGATGGATGTCTGAGATTGTATGGAATAGAGGAGCACATGACAGAAATGGAAACAGATTTGAAAGCTGTGAACAGGTCCTTCGATCCATCCTGGCATGGTTTATTAGTGTGAGACAGGCTCCTTGTCTTCTCTCTTTAATGATACCCGTTCTGTGAATGTTTTCATTCGGAAAATAAGAAAGCATTGACGTGTTATGTGAACTGTGGTTTCTTTAAGGGAATAAATATGCTAATTCTGTGCTTTGAAGAATGTACTGTGTAAGGCCCGTTACTTCACTGATTTCAGTGACTGCTAAGCCCAGGTGAGAAAAGGTTAATACTACATACCACAGGATATTTTATTATTCAAAAGTTTTGACTTAGAAATGTAGTGAAGAATTTCAATGACAATTTGCTCTACTTTTAAACGTGATTTTCATATTATATTCTCCGAAGTATAGTTTAACTCATCATTTGTTATTATAATACCTGAAGCAATTTATCTCAAGCTATTGCTTGATTCTTCATAAAAGCAGTTACTATGAAAAGTTACCACCAAAATCTTAGAATATTCACAAAACCTTACACAAATAATGTCTTTTTTCATATAGGAATAAAGACAATTTTCCTCATATACACGCAAATGTACAAAAGCACATTTCTCAAGGATATAATATTTCCCTGGAACACCAGGGCTTTTACAGAAGGAGCTAAATAGGAGAAATGCCAACTGGATAGAAGAGTTTCCCCAAGCTTTAAAACTGGAACGAAACAAGTCTCAACATTTGCAAAACATTCCTTTATTATTAGAAATAAATTATCTGTATAAAAAATTGCATGCGTCAATCATTGCATTTATTTTCAGCACAACCCAGGGCTTCAATCCGGTCAGCCGTTACAAGAAACAGACTCATTGTCTTATACAAGTTGAACAATGTGGGACAGGAACGAGAGTTCTCACAATCACAGAAAAATACTTACAAGAATAACATCAAACATGGTTAATTTCAACAGCATTTTTTTTTTCACAAGCTCACATTAGTTTTCCCTTTGTGATTTTTTTTTTAACTGCTCATGAGTAAGCAACACTTTAGCTTGACACTCATTGGTTGTATTGTATCAAACGGGTTCTTCGGTCCCCGTCATTAATATATTTGGCTCATGGATAATTTTTGTTCCTTGCAAGACTGACTAATGATTTGATTGACTGTAGTCTACGGAGATCTCCAGGAGTAAATTTTTGCAGTCTCATGTTCATTGTTTGAGATCAAATGCCACATTACTTCAGACTGTATCATTTCCCTGTTTCAGATTGAATGATTACTGTAGCTTATATATGTTGTCTTGGTAGAGGAAGCTGTTAAGAGAAATCAGAATAAATTAATAGTATATAATAATAAATTGTTTTGTTAATATAATTTAAAAATTCAAATACTGTAATGCCTTTTATAATATTCAGTTTTCACAACGCATTACTCATTATTTTAAACCATATAGTAGGAATTCAATGATTGTACAAATAAAAATGTGCGGCAATTTTAATCTATAAAAAACACTCGTCTCATTTATAGTATACAGATATTTAGTGGAAAAGTAAAAATGTAAAAGTGCTAACACTTAATAACTTTAGATGAAATTCAATTTAAATGTGTATTTTGAGTAATAAATATTTATATAAATATATATATATATATGTAAAATGAAAGAACAGGTAAATTATCTGTCCTACAAAATATAAAAAATTTTTTTTTTTACAACCTGAATCAAAGACCTCAATTCTTTGAGTCTGATTCAATGATCAAAACAGGGTTAAGAAATTATAACTAGTTGTGCTTTGGGAATGACTATATCTTCCATTTAAAAATAAGCAACAATTTTAGACCGTAGAGGTGAACATGGTAAAAACATGGTAAAATATCAAGTACATAGAATATTGGTAAATATTAAAGTATATATATATATATATATATATATATATGCATTGTCAATGCATATTTACGGTTTGGTCTGGTTTCAACTAAAGAATACAAATGGGGATGTTTAGAAAATAAATAAAGACTCAAAGAAGAAAATGAATATTTAATTGTTGTGTTACCAACTTACTGTGAAGTAAAACATTATTGTAAGAATATTAGGGAGAAATGGCTAACAAGATGTTCCATGTCAAATTTATACTCATGCTTACACTTCTAGAGAATATGAATCTAAATCCAAATAATTGGGTTTTTGAAAGATGTGATGAAATAAATCTCTACCCTAAAATTCAAATGTGATGTACTATTATTTACTGGAATTCTGGAATGAAAAATCATTTAAAAAAAGACATAAAAGACAAAAACATGCATGCATTTCAATATATAAATCCAATCCAGGATAAGAAAAACTTTTAAAGAATAATTTTGTTATTAAACATTGAATAAGGCTAGAAATTGTAAAGCCTCTCCTATGAAATAATTGACAGTCATACTCATTTCATTTTAGTATGTGACACTGGTGTTTGACCAGATAAGTTCTTACCAGAGACCAAGATCATATAAAGTTTACAATCACTAACATTAGCACAGATAGCCCAAGGAAGTATCAATTGCAGATGTTTTGCTATTTTTATTTCATTGAATATTACGAGTTTCATGCCAATATGGAGTCCTACTTTTTTACTTACCCTTTCCAAAAGATAAGATATCTGCTACATTTGGTTTGGTGTGAAGTGAAATGCAATGATTTCATGTTTGTTTACTTTTTACTTTTTCATTATAAAATGTACTCATATGCCTCTAAATTTTCTCTAAGAAAATTAAATCTGAATTTCAGCTCTGTTTTTAACGGACTTTCATATAATCTTTATAGACAAGATAGAAAAAAATTATCATGAGTTATAAAAATGACTGTTAAAAATGTCGCTCAACTTCCTGTACTGTTCAATACTTTCAATAATAACTAAAAACATAGGAAATCCTTATCAAATATGTAGATACTAAAAGGAAAAATTATGGTTGAAATAGAGAAATAAGAGCCAAAAGAACCTTGAACTACTTGATGTTCTAAAGATGTTCATTCCACAGACATTGATTTGGTTCAGACCATCTTTATAGATCATTCGAACTTTGAGGTTCTATAGCTAGTTAAAGATTCACACTTCATTTTTTGAACTCTTAAAAGTGATCTCCGGGAAGAAAGATGGTAGAATTCTATTAAGAAATGAACAGTAATTCACAGAAGAATAATGTTCATTTTTTTTCTTTTTTTTTTTTACTGGTTATAAAAGGAAGTGCAAGGCTCTAGAAACAGATGATTTAGTCAACATGAGAGTAATGATAAAGGACAAACCATGAATAGTGGACAGCTTGCAAGACTCTTTATTTCAGAAGTATTACAGAACAAAATGGATCAAAGATGTATAGATGAGCTCATAGGGAGATTTTTTACAGTGGTGATGAATATGCTTATGTGAAAACCAGTTTTTGAGTACAGCAATGATGAATTTCCTTGTGTGCACCACACTGTGTTCATAAGCTAGAGAAAGCACATCTACCTCCAGCAGCAATTCTATTCATGAATTATTTATGAACATAGCGTAAGGAATATCATATATGGCACTGGTTAACTGGGTACAGTTGGCGAAATTCATATTTACCAACTTTGTTTCTAATTCTCCTCACCCCGTTATAAAACAAAACAACCTTTTATATATGAAACACAGTATTTTTCAAATTCAGCAAATTGTTTTCCTCTCCAGCTTCACATTACTTATATTCATCTGTTTAGCTTTGGGAACTTAAAATCTTGAACATTTGACCAGAATTTCTGGTATTAACAAGTCACCCTTAAGAAGAGATTTCTGAATATGAGGACTTGTAGGGCTCCGTGGCCATGAAAGAAAAGCATTGCATGTATGACAAGTATGTTTAAACACACAGCTATATGGTCAGAAAAAAATCTCAACAATGGAATAGTAGCCATAATTATTAAAATCCTCCATATATTAAAAAAAGGAAAGAAAGAGGTATGCGAAAAAAATAGTTTTTGAATTTCAAGTCTTCCGTTTTCTATTAACTACAGAGCAATCTACATTTTCAAGGCAGAAGTGATATCTTTACCTTTGTACTGTGATTTATAGTTTACAAAACACTTTTTTGTATGTCATTGTCACTTCATTGTAATCATGCTGATTTATCAAAAGTCTGGTAGCAGAAAGTATGAGAATGCAGCAACATGGATTTCCCGTGGATTAATCAGCCCTTGATTTATTGAGAACAGACTCTACCTGTGTTGAGAGGAGGTGTTTTAAATCTGAGGGGGTATGGTGCCCGTTACAGACAGTTGGATGGCAAAGGTTTCTCCAATATTCAGTTATAATTCTAAAGACATAATACACATATTTAGGAGGAAAAGATTGCATTTAAGTTATTAATTGTAAGAGTACTTTTAGAGGATAAGTGATTTCAGAAGACTTTTGACTAATTTAAAACCACTAGTACATGCACAGAGTAAAGGTAACAGGGACACAAGAAGCCCATGATGCCTATGCTGGGTTTCTCACTTGGACTCGTGCACACTGAATTGCAAGCTTTGTTTCAAAAGCATACAAATCTAACTTTCATGGTAGGATGGCTATGTAAGAGAACAAAGGGTGACAATGGTTACCTGGGGCAGGACTGTGGAAGAATGAGGGAAGATTTCATACACTGTCTTTCCTGAATGTGTAAACTGTAATCACTTTATCTGGACCTAATTTATTCAAACCTAAGCTACTCCTGTAAAAGAAGAATACACAAAAAACTCCGAAGTACAATAGGCAGGAATTGACATCATCTTGCTTCACCTTCTCAATTTTCTTTCACCTTCCAAAAGTTAGCATCTGACTCCTCCAGACTATTATAGATAGGCTTACCCTCCAAACAGGCCTTTTGTTTGTAATCTTTCATTCTTATTTTAGAGAAAACAGAGAAATACATGCATGCTATATAATTTCCATTTCAATATCAAGAGAAAATAACAGGGAAAACAGGAAATGTATGAGACATTTCAATAATACAAGACAATCCTTATCAATACTGAAAATTTTCCTTTTCAGGAAACCTGTTTATTCTTTAAAGTGGTGAAAAAAGGCTATTAATTTTTTTCTCCACTACTTTCCACAGGTGAGTTTGGGGTGACTGATATTTAGTTCACACTGAGTTTGGCTGTTCCCATTTGCAGCAATATTACATAGTTTTCTAGATCGCTGCTCAAAAAACAGGTACAAAAATAGATTCTGGTGAGTCATACTGGGAAGTTCCAGGGTTCAAACTCTATCACTGGCCAACAGTATTTTACTGGCATCCTACAATAAATCTTAACTTCCTACACTGATGCTTTCAAGGTGGAAAATCACAGATAAAATTCTGTCCTCAAATCACAAGCATTTTACTCTGATGCCTCTAATAATAGCTTTAGTACACCTTTGGAGCCAAAATAGGCCCATTATTAGTAAATTGCTTACCTATAGCCAGAGATGATTACGATTTGTTACCAAAACCCATCCTTTTTGTGCCTTTCTTTCATTTTCTCAAGGTTTCATGTTTGTAGAAAGGTGAGTATGCGGGGAGTGTTTGTGAAGTTCTTGTAAGGTTCTTTTCTCTGAAAGTGACTAAATTCGGAGTCAGTGATCTGAAGATAGTCTTCCTACAGCTAATCTGGCCAGTAATTCCAAGGAGTCTGACAGTAATTGGAGCCAATAAGTTTAATTAAGCAATACTAACAATCTAGGGATACTTTTTTGTATGGGACATTAAAGTAGACAATGCTTATCTGGAAATCTTAATAGAAAGGAAAGTTTGTGATAAGAACATTTAAATTCCTCTCTTCTGGCCATTTGAAAATATACAATATATTATTGTTAAAGTCACCTAAGGTACTATAGAGCACACAATTTAGTTTTCCTGTCCAGCTGTAAGTTTGTATCAGTTAAGCAACCTCTCCCTTTCCCCTCCTCTACACTTCTCAGCTTCACCACAATGAGCTGAACTGTTTTAGCTCCCACATATGAGTGAGAACATGCAGTATTTATCTTTCTGTGCCTGACTTATTTTACTTAACATAATCTCTTTCAGGCTCATCCATGTTGCTGTGAATGACAGGATTCCATTCTTTTTTATGGCCAAGTAGTATTTCATTGTGTATATCCCACATTTTCTTTACCCATTCATTTGCTGATGGGCATCAAGGCTGGTTCCATATCTGGGCTATTGGAAATAGTGCTGCAATAAACATTGGGGTGCAGATAGCTCTTTGGTATGCTAATTCCCTTTGCTTTAGATAAATACCCAGCAGTGGGATTGTTGGATCATATACGGTAGGTCTATTTTTAGTTTTTTGAGGAACCTCTATATTGTTTTCCATAATGGCTGTACTAACTTACATTCCCACCAATGATGTATAAGAGTTCCCTTTTCTTCACATCCTTGCCAGCATTTACTATTTCTTGACTTTCTGATAATAGCCATTGTAACTGGGGTAAGATGATATCTCATTGAGGATTTTCTTTGCATTTTCCTGATGATTAGTGATATTGAGCATTTTTTTCACATACTTCTTGGTCATTTGCATGTATTCTTTTGAAAAATGTCTATGCAGGTCATTTGCCTATTTTTAAATCAGATTATTTGGTTTTTGCTGTTGAATTGTTCGAGTTCCTTGAATATTCTAGATATTAATCCTTTGTCAAATGAATAGTTTGCAACCATTTTCTCCCATTCTGAAGGTTGCCTTTTCACTCTATTCATTGTTTCCTTTGTTGTGCAAAAGTATTTTAGTTTAATATAATCTCACTTTTCTATTTTTGTTGCCTGTGCTTTTAAAGTCTTACCTATACAATCTTCGCTGAGACTAATGTCTTCAAGCATTTCCCCTATATTTTCTTCTAGTCGTTTTATAGTTTTGGGTCTTACATTTAAGTGTTTAATCCATTTTGAGTTGATTTTTGTATGTGGGGAGAGACAAGGACCTTGTTTTATTCCTCTGCATGTGGATATCAAATTTTCCCAGCACCATTTACTGAAGAGACTGTTCTTTTCCCAATGTATGTTCCTAGCACCTTTGTCTAATGTGAGTTAGCTGTAAATATGTGGACTTATTTCTGAGTTCTCTATTCTGTTCCATTGATCTACATGTCTGTTTTTATACCAGTACCTTGCTATTTTGGTTACTACAGCTTTGTATTACAGGTAGCATAATGCCTCCAATTTTGTTCTTTTTGTTCAGGATTGCTTTTGCTATTCAGATTCTTTTGTGGTTCCATATATATTTTAGGGTATTTTTTATTACTGTGAAAAATGTCTTTAGTATTTTGATAGTGGTTCATTGAATCTGTAGACCACTTTGGGTAGCATGGTCATTTTGACAATATTAAGTCTTCCAATTTTTTTGTGAGTCCTCTTTACTTTCATCAGTGTTTTGTAGTTTTCATTGTAGAACTGTCTCATCTCCTCCTAGGTTTTATTTATTTATTTATTTAATTTTTTTGTAGCTATTGTAAATGGGCTTGCTTTTTTGATTTTTTTTACAGATGGTTTGTTGTTAGTGTATAGAAATGATACCGATTTTTGTATGTTGATTTTGTATTCTCTACTAAATTTATTTACCAGTTCTAGCATTTTTTTTTTTTTTTGGGGAAGTCTTTAATTTCTTCTATATATAAGATCATTTCATCTGCCAACAGGGATAATATGACTTCTCCTTTTCCTTTTTGGATGCCCTTTGTTTCTTTCTCTTGCCCAACAGCTCTGTCTATGACTTCCAGCACTTACTCAATTGTATGCATGCTGTGTTGAACAGGAATGGTGATAATAAGCATCTTTGCTTTGTTCCAGTTCTTTCACTTTTCCCCTGTTCAGTATGATGTTAGCTGTGGGTTCATCATACATGGCCTTTATTGTGTTGAGGTATGTTCTTTCTATACCAAATTGTTTAAGAGTTTTTATCATGAAAGGATGTTAAATGTTTTCAAATGCTTTTTCTGCATCTATTAAGATGATCACATAGTTTTTGTCCTTTATATTATTGATATGATGCACCACATCTGTTGATTTGCTTATGTTGGACCATCCTTGCATCCCTGGGATAAATCTGCCTTGATCAAGGTATATTATCTTTTTGATGCACTGTTGGATTTGGTTTGCTAATGTTTTGCTGAAGATTTTTGCATCTATGCTCATCAGGAATATTGGCCTGTAGTTTTCATTTTTGTTGTTGTTGTGTCCTTGTCATATTCTTTAGCTTTCTAATATTTTACCATAGAAATCGCCAGTCTATTCACTACTCTTCCATAGATACAAAGGTGAACTTAAGTAGATCTGTTAAACTCTACTGGAATATTTCAGGTGTCAGTGTATTGTTATTATATGAGTCTGGGGTGGACTATAGAGAAGAAGATGATAGGTGAGGGAAAAAAATGGAATGGTAGGCATAGAAAGAATTCTATTTTCAAGATTATGAGGCTTTCAAAGCAGAGCTGTAATTATCTGAATACATCCAAGAAGGGAAATTATGGGAAACCAAAAGAAGAGAACCACTTGGGAGAAATGAGTAGTAAGTGTGACTTAACTAAACAAGTGGGCAAAAGAAAGACCCGAGTGTCATGTTTTGTAAAAGAGGTTTTGCGCATGTGTTTGTGTTCTGGAGAACAGCAACTCATCTTGAGATGTTTGGTTCTAACCAAATGGTTCTAACTGTTGTGATGGCTTTATGATATGTGGGTATTACCATGCCCCTGGAAATATGTAGCACAATCCCCAAGACTAGAAGAATATTCAACGTACATCTATTAGGAACAGCTCCCGCTCTTGACCATCGGAAAGTCTACAGATGACTTACTGTTGGTTTCAAGACTCTCACAGAGTTCACTTTTCACTTCGCCATTTGGTCTGTCATTTCCTTTTTGGATTAGTTTACTTTGCATGGTGGCAGCTGTCACCACAGCCTTGAAGCTCCTCTTGCGTTTTTGAACGTTCTGCTCTGGATGAAAAATTATGATATAAACCTTGGGCATATAGAGCATGCCCAGAGACACGGAAGCACTTAAACTCATGGAGACGGTAAGTGTTGTTGTTTGGATGTACATCTGAAGGGAAAAAGAAAAAGAATCAATGTTGGTAAGCCTAATTAGCAGGAAATACAGCAAATAACAGCATTTTCTAAAATTATTCTAGCTTCTCTATTAAAGGTTCATTAGAAGACATTTACTAAAACTGCCCTTAAATATAGTCAAGCATTCTTATATCCCAACTTGCAAGTGTGGATGAGTAAGGCTGTATTGTTTATTGAGCCCAATTCCTTAAAACAAACAGACAATCTAACAACTAAACTGGTGGAGCTTAGTTTCATTTTTAGATTGTAGATAAACATGTATAAGAAAGGGGACAAAAGCAGTTTGGCAAAAGACTGATTTTATGCCACATATGCCCTCTTCAAGAGATGGCAGTGGGGGCCAACCCCGTGGCTCACTCGAGAGAGTGCGGCGCTGGGAGCGCAGCGGCACTCCCGCCGTGGGTTTGGATCCTATATAGGCATGGCCGGTGTGCTCACTGGCTGAACACGGTGTGGACGGCACCAAGCCAAGAGTTACGATCCCCTTACTGGTCACAAAAAAAAAAAAAAGAGAGAGATTGCAGTGGGTCAAGTTATTCCTTTAGCAATAAACTTAACCCAGAAGGTAAATGCTATATAGTGGAAATAGAGTGGGAGTGGAACATTCCAGAACATCACTGTTGCACATCACTGCTTGAATAATGCATATTTGCATCTTTTCATCTTTACTTAATTCCATGCCATAAGGGCTTGATTTTTTTTAATAGCCCCTCCAAAGAACACTTCCGGAGGATTCTCAGTGACTGCATCATATCAAAATAAATGCAGGTGTTTTTACAAAATATGTAAGACCTCCTCTCTTTGAGATTTAGATGTGTACCCTGGAGTTAGGGTCCTGGCATCTACATTTTGAAAATTCTCCCCCGTACTCATATCTTATTCTTATCCCACTAAAATCGACTGCTCAGGTATAGACAAAGCGAGAACTCTCTGGAAGATTTTTCTTTCTACACCCTAAAGATTAAGTAGCTGAGAAAACCCAAACCAAAAATCACTGCCTTGGTCTCTTCATTATAGTTTGAAAGCAGACATTACAGTATTTAAATCTTTAAAAACAAAAACAAAAACCTTTTATCTGCTTCCATTTTCCAGGTCCTGAGCTCAAAATATAATTTCCGCAAATAAGTTGTGATAGTGAGGCCACAGAAAAGCTGTCTTAACACCATGAAGAGATATTCTTTATCATATCTATGATCCTCATTAATAGATCTGTTCACTCTAATAATATCTCCAAAACTGTAAAGTCGTCAAAGTTCATTTGGCAATCCTCAAAAGTGAAACAAATTGTGCCCTTTTTAATAAGAGACTGAAAAATATTCATCCTCAAGGATAAATACTAGCTGAATCAGCATTAGTGTTGCCTTTTCCTAGGGGAGATGGTTTCTCTTAACAGATGGCAAAGTCTTGAGGTAAAGATCTATCCAAACCATGAGGAGAACTTGAGGCACTAGTAAAAAAAAAAATTGTCCTTGTGTGTGAAACTGTGCTATATAGATTACTGAGTATACCCTTCAATTCATCTACCACTTAGATCCTTGCATAAGACCCCATTGTGTATATGGGAATACGCTGCAACAAGGTGATGCAGAATTGGTTTATTTCGAATGTCACCTCCTCCAAGAAGTTCTCTGTGATAAATCTTATCTTAATTATAATATTTTTACTTTACTTCTAAGCATTAATACATTAAAATGAATATATAAGGCACTTGCTAATATGTAGTACATGATCATATTCATTTACATGATCTTTGTATTTATTTATATGGAATGCACAACTAGAGTATATACACTTCCTTAGAGCAGGTAACCTACATTTTTTTCTTATATACTTCTAAAAATCGAGGCAAGATTTTATACATAATAATTACTCAGAAACTGCAAATTAATTTATGTATACAAAGATTTTTATGAATTTTTTGATTTACACAAATTATGCAGATTATGCATCCCATAATTCCCCAGTAAGTCAAATGGACATCAGTAATGGCTACCACAAAGAGGTGATTACACTTTAAGGAAGAAACAAAGTGTTGAGTGTGAATCCCATATTATAGGCTAGGCTCATGCATACCAGCCTCAATAGAAACATGATTCATATACATCCCTTAGCAAAGTGATGAATTACTGCATGTCATGATCTCTCATGCTATCTGCCAATAAATGAAATCCCATGTTAAATTGGAAAGTATTAAAGATTTATTACAATTAAGAAGATCCCAATGAAATGTGGATATGTGCCTTTAAACCTCATAAATCCCCCTAAGCTTTGACATCTACTTTTAAACAACCTAATATTATGAGTACTCCTAAGCTTCTCAGGTGTTGGTTAATCTTCTTTGAATTCCTACTTATTTTCAAGCCAGAATTGCTGCAGAAACCTATTCAGAAAATGGACTGCAGAAGACATAAAGGTAATGAAAGAATATGGCAAAGTGTAAACCACACACATAAATATCCCAAAGCCACTCAAATAGGTAACCATCAGTTTTATCCAGTAGAACCCTGACAAGTCAATTCAGTCTAAAACAAACAAACAAAAAAATCCAGAGCTCAAATATTCATGAAATAATGAGAATATCCGTACTGATTATTTGGACTTTATTATGTCTTAGTCTGTTAGTCTTGCTAAATGCATAGTACTAGTCCAAATAGTACAAATAAACACCTTTATATTTTTCAAATCTTGTACATTTTCTCTGTTGCCAAAAATATAAGTGATAATTTTCTTCTCTCGCTCAGAATAATTTATTTAATAGATAGTAAATTTAATCTTGCTAAATATTGGGCATGACGAAGATTTTAAAATGCTAGCTTCCTCATTAAATAAATTACTGCAGTCTATGCTTTTGGCAAGCCAACTCAATGAAAGCTGTAATAAACATAGACATTAGAATTAAATAGTACTATGCTTAGTGTACCAAGCTCTCCATTAGACTCTATACTTTCAAATTACACCAAAGTGCTGATCTTAATTATGTGCTCTTTTAAAACAGCTTCTGAAAAATTTTAATGTGTTTTTAATACAGGAAAAGAATGTACACAAAATAATACCCTAAAATCTAAAGCCTTATAGTCACCTACCATTTGTTACAGGGCCTTGGATTATGAATACACTAAGTTTTTGAATTTCATTTTTAAACATTTAATAAAATGAACAAATCATATATGAATACATCGTAACCTCAATGAAAGCAACTACAGCAAAACAAGCAAAGAAATAAAAATGCTTCCTGCTCTCATTCTAGAGAAACTAAAGCCTTAGTATCTTGAATTATAGGATTCTGAATATCTCCCATATTTAAAAATAAATTAACAGATTATATTAAAAGATTGCAAATGAGCACCTGATTCCAAAAACTCAATGGCCTTATGTATACTTATAGAAAATTCTAATTATTTGAGCCATGTAGAGAAGGAATATGTTCCAGGAGACCTGAGTTTGAATTCCAGCACCACCACTTATAATGTTTTCTTAAGATAAAAAATTTTACAGAGAAACTCGGGAGTTGCTGTGTGGGTGATAAAAGCCCTAAAAGGAACTAGAAGGCAACAATACAAACTCTAATAAAACTTCCCCGATAATTGGACAAATGTGTGATCTTGTTTTCCTTTCTGGCCTTTAATTTCTTATTTATCTAATGCGGGAAAATAATACTTTTCTCATAGAGGAGTTAAAGGGTAGAATGATAAAATCTTCATGAAATGACTAGTGGGCACAAAATAGTAGTTTGACAGAGATTATTTACGATACAACTTTGTATCTAAAAGGATGCTAACAAAGCATCCTTCTAGTATATAGGACAAGAGAGGGGCCTATTAGCCAATTATTCAAACCAGACAGTTTTGTTTAGTTAGGAGCTGATAGCCATGCTCCGGCTATTGATGTCTAGAAAAAGGCCTTTGTAATCTCACTTCAAAATAGGTAGAATAAAAAATTGTCCAAATGCTGACGCTATTTGCTGATGTCAAGGCTCTATACACTGTCTGGGCTACCCTCCTAGAATAACACAACAGCTTTCTGTTTCAAACTTACAGCTCATCATAGGACAGGAGAGGACTATGTTAACTCCCCCTAATCCACATAGAAGCTGACAATGATATTGGATATGTTAATATTAACCTTCTATTTTTCATCCTTCTTTTATGCATCCTCTCCTGCCCCTGTCACTCCAAAATACTAACACTCGGAGAAAGGAGAATATCTTTTCTATCACATGCACTGATGGCCGGTTACTTCCTCTGCCTCCAAGCCCCGTGGACATTCTGAACCTGAAGCACTCAGGTGCACTGAAGCAGACTAAGCAATCGCTGGATAAGCCAGGGAGGAGTTGGCACAATGAAGCACACTAACACAAAATCTTTTCTGGGACCTATTATAGCTTTTTCTTCATTCTCTGAATAGATCATTTGTTTACAGCCAGGATCTACTGATTGTAGGTCATGATTTGAAATCACTAAAGATTCCAGGAAGAGTTAGGAGAGAGGAAGTTGTATTTCTCCAGGATAAAGGTCAGCCTTATACTTTCAATCAGCTACCTGTACACAGACCTCCATAGACTCTGACATCCAACCTAGACATGTTTTCAGCTCCTAGAAACTAAGGTAACCTTTTATGAGACCTTGCACTCAAAGCTGCTTTATGTCATGTGATAGAAAAAGACTCATTATTTATTTTTTAATATTTCTGCCTTGCCCCAGATGGTTTAATCTTGCCTCTATGCTAGTCAATCAGGTTCTACTTGGCTGCTTTGCATACAACCTGACAAGTTAGAAAGCTGCATTAACACTTTCAGCCTGATTTTCTCTGCTTCTGTTACCTATTTCCTCATCTGTGCATCTGCCAAAGTGGCACTGCATCAAAAAAATAGATTTTTTCTGCTTTTTAACAGGGCTTCAGCCAATGGACTTCAAAATCTCATTTATTACAAGAAGTGATTAAATTTTTTTAAAAGATGAAGTTTACAGAGAAACT